ACTGTGTCCTGAACTAACAAGGGATATTTTTGTCCAACCAGACTCCCAGTTTGCGAGTGCGTTGAGCAAGATATTGAGCAACGAGTCAAGCAAGTTGTGAAAGTGCTATTTAGCAGTGTGCAGTGTCGGTAAAGTCTTTGTTGCAACATTCTGTGCGATCATTCCTTCAGAAGTAGCTTGTAGCAGACGTCTTTTGGTGTCTGCTTCTGTGGGTGGTGCATAGCGTCAAAATAGTTGCTTTATCCAAAACCAAGCTTAAGCTGGATGCAACAACAGTCTCCCATTTTGCGTGGGCTCGATAAGTCAGTGATCAGATCATATCGATCAGCTCAGGCCCAGTGTTCTTGACTCAGGCTCATCTGAGGGGAAATAAGGAAAACTCTGATTTTAACAGCATTTTTTGTAGGTGGGTATTGATTGTTTTCTATGTACCATGTGGTAAAGTATGTGTATATTGAATTTATGTAACAATCTTTGCATAATGAGTGCATGCTAATTTTGGGTGGTATCATTTCCTACTGGTAGTGATTTACCTAGGGCTCCTTCTTCTTTGTCACTGCAAAGTCTTACACACTATGCCAGGTGCAGACACAGCATCTGAACACCAAGCCTCGCACCTGCATGTGCTAAACCCAGGCCGGCCCAAATCACACTGAATTTTCAAACTAATGATGTGTTTTTGGAGTAAATTTCCTTGATATTAACATTGGAACATAATAATTTCTCAAAAGTTGTCTCACTTGCCAAAGCTGGTAGCAGCCATGCAACAAACTCTGGAACCATCAGATTTGCAGCATACATGCACTAAAACACTTGTGGTAATGTTGCTGCTATACCAGACACATTTATCATGATACTTATTTTTTGCAGTCTGGCTTCTATGCAGGCTAGATTACCAAGCATGCCTTTTGTGACAAGGTCTTTGCAATGGTAGGCAGGTGTGCCTTGGTACTTCCTGGTGCTCATTTTGCTGTTTATGGCTTTATTAGTCCTAACTGCTTGGTAATAGTAGTGTAAAATGCTGGGCAACAGACACTGGTAGGATTACAGAAAAAATGGATCAGTGTGTAACAAAAAATATCACCTTAGCAGCCCCACATAGGTTTTATATTTACTGCATGTATATGTCAGTATTGCTCAATTAGCATATTACTTTACTCATCTGGTGCTTTTTTGTATTGGGTGTACTGCTATTTTTTCATCATCCATTTTTTGTGATCTTGGGTATGGGTGCTGAAGCATTTGCCCCAAGTGAGGGGATTGTGAAGGCTAAGCACACTCAGTGGGGTAGGAAATAGTTCCTTGTTGCTTGCATTAGATGCGGTCATGTTGAAAACTGTCAGCATGCACCTGTGTTATCTTGATTAGTGACCAATGCAGTTCAGCACAGAGCATTGATGTTACTGGCCATAATGGGAACTGTAGCCAGTAAAAGTAAATTTATCTTTTTGTTTTTAATGCTATTAGTTGACATTGCAATGGGATCTGTAATCTCAATTCTCAAGCTCCTATTTGTATATGAATATATGCACATGGCGATTGTATGAACTGCTTAGCTCACCACCCACATACCCTTATAGGTGCATATAGGGCTCAACATAGCAGGACTGTGTAGTTGTGATTAGGGCCCATCATGTGGGAGGGCACAATATGTCCAAATCAGCTCAGCCCCAAATCATGCTCTGCACACCTTCAGCCAAAAGCATCATATATAATGATCATGTATGTTGTACAAGATACATATTATAAAGTGGTATGGCTAATATAAATAACTTCTGTTATAACAAGAATACATATACCAAGTAAACAAATAGTCAATAGTATTGAACTTCATATGGCTGAAGATGCAGACCACTGTCACATGATCATGTGTAGCAATGATAGTAATAAATTAGTAATTAACATAGAATAATCCCATACAATGATTAAAAAGATATAATAATATCTAAGGTAAAAGTGGCATACTCCAATAGTGTATTAACCTCATATGGTGAGACCACTGTTCACACTGTCCATTTTTTTTGCATCCAGCACCATCACCACATCATCATATCACATTGCCACATCATCACATCACTCCACAATCACATGGCACCCTTCTCTGGCAGTCTGTCAGCTGCTAGCTGTCACCCCACCCCTGCAGACATTCCCTTCCATGCCCCCCCCCTTCCAACAGCTGCCTGTACCTCGCCCCAGCTCACCAGCGGGCCCCTGGGACCGTCTGACCTCTCCACCATCGCCGTCCGCATCTCCGTCACCTCCACGTGACCGTCCGCCGGTGGGGCCGGCAGCGCGTCAGCCCAGCGCCCAGCCGCCATGCCGGTGCGCTCGGAGGGCATGGAGGCACCGCCGCCGCCGCTCAACTCGCGCCAGCCGGGCGTGGTGCGCTCGCCCCTCCACGACGGCTCCGTCCTTCAAGGGCTACCAGAAGTCCAAGGGCCAACTGCTACGACGTCGAGGTGGAGCTGAAGGTGCGCTGCTGCTGCCGCCGCGGCGTGCGGTGGCGGCACGGCACTGCTGCCTGTGGAGACCTGAATGAGCCTGCAGTGGACGCATTGGTGGTGTTTTTTAGGGGAGGAGGGGGGGGGGAGGGGTTAAACAGGATACTTAAGAGCCAAAGATCATAATGACACATAAAGCATTGCTGTGTGTGTATTTCCCAGCAATTACTTTGTGGTTGCAACACTGCTGCACCACATTTGGGATGAATAAGTCATTGTCAGCACCATCTTTTGAATGAGGCATGAATGGGTCGCGGTGGGAACTGCGGGACGTCCAAATAGGATTCGACCCTTGCACTGTTGAGTGTCTTGGCACAGGCACTTAACCATCCGATGCGCGTGTGGACCGTGCCCGGTGGCGGTCCCGCAGCCCACTAACGCCCGTCCGTCGGGCGGCCACCTCCCGCGCGCAGAAGGTGGACCTGGACAGCGCGTACCTGTGCGGCTACCTCAAGATCAACAACCTGACGGACGACTTCCCCACCATGGTGACGTACTTTGACGGCGAGATCATCGGGCGGCGGCACCCGTTCCTCACCCGCAAGTGGGACGCCAACGAGGAGGTGGACCGGAAACACTGGGTACGCGCCGCCGGCGGGGCCGCCGGTGCCGGCTCGAGCTCGCGGGGCCCGGCGGCAGGCGCTGGGCTCGTTTAGGCTTGTTCAGCGTCGCTGGGCGTACGGCTGTGTTATGCGGCGTGGTGGCGATACTGGTTATGGTTTTCTCGGGATGAGTCGTGTATGTTGGTTGCGTTTTTCTCGACCGAGTCGTAAAGCTATCGCAGTTTGCTGCATTTGTCCAAGCTCATCCACCTCTCCAGTAAGAGATGGCAGGCCTTGCGGGTCCAAAACCAGCTGGCATCTTCACGTTTCTAATGATGCTATTTTTCGCGGACGCTTAACATCGCTGCACTTACCACGGCTAAGCTCATAAAAGAAAGGCTACTCCAAGACATTGCTAAGTCTTGTCCATATGGGTTCCCAACTGCAACAGGCTGCAATCACTTATAGTAAGGAATCATCTGCATGGTGACAACAGTCACGCCCTGTTATCACTGAACATCATGATATCTAGCCTTGGCCATCAAATAATACCCAGAAAAGACATGCTTTGTGGGCAGTTGAGTTGTTCTTATTTTTGGCTAATGTGTCGAGGAATATGGGGGTTGGGGTGGGGATGGGGGGGGGGGGGAGGCAACATGGGGCCTGCATTGATGGAGATGAGCCTAAAGTTCCCGGGATTGTCATGACAGCGATGCCCATGTATAGGCATGCCAGAAGCCTGCTTCCTTGGAACTGGGAAGCAGGATTTACTGGAGGTGTCACAAATGCAGTACCCGAAAAATGAAAAATCTGAAAACATTGCACAGAGTTCTGCTGAAACTGATATGGGAATGAGACGCCTTGCAGCCAATGCCTTTCGTATGAGCTGGCTGTCAGCTCATCCCCCATTGGCTGATGTGTCCACCTGCTGCTGTACGGTTACGAGCTGGAACCGCTTCGCCAATCACAGCTTTGTCAGTCACTGCTTTGCTGGTTGCTGCTTTGCCGGCCACTGCTTCGCTAGTCACCGCTTTTCCGGCCACATCTTCGCCCGTCACTGCTTCGCCCGTCACTGCTTCGCTGTCCACTGCTTCGCTGGCCGGGGCGGCGAGGCGCAGACGGTGACTGAGAGACGCCGTCCTGTCCGTCGCCAGGGCAAGTTCGAAGCGTTCTCGGCCTTCAGCAAGACGTTCAACACGGACGATTTCGACTACGACGCGCTAGAGGCGTACGACTCGGTGTTCATGAGGTGGAAGGAAAGTTTCCTCATCCCTGACCATCAGGTGAGGGTGCAGAGTCCCTGAACATGATGTCGGGTGGGCCGCCCAGGACCCCTGGACCAACTGGTGAGCTCCTAGTGTGATCCCGCTGGGTGGGATTCGTCGACTCTCGACGGCCGCCAGAGCCGCTCATTATCATATACCGTGCGTCGTCACAGCAGTGCGGCTGCCCTCGACCCCATAGCGGTCACCGACCTCGACTACCGGTCGGCGCTCGGGGTCGGTGACCCGTGCGGCCGTTCGGCGCCTTGGTCGACCCCGTTCCCCCGCCCCTCGCCCCCCCCCCCGTGTATCCGGTATCTCCGTTCGTTGGTCTGCCCGCGGCGTCAGCTGCCAGTTCCTGCCAGCGGATTGTGACCCGCTGGTCTCGTATCTAACGGTAGCCAGTGCTCCCGTGTGGTCCGTGTGCCAGTTAAGTGCTCGTGGTACATGTTGGGATGCGCTACGTGAAACTAAGCACGGGTCACCACTCTGAAACTGTGCCGTGGCAGAGGGAGCGTGCACGCAGTGGTGAGCATGTAGGTTGCGAGCAGACCATTTTCAATTTAGCATTCCATTTGTATTTTGTGCGTAGTTAATGCATAAGCCCTTTCAGCCAAGCCGAGTCGTTCACGCTACGCACGCTAGAACAGCGTGTATCCCAATTGCGCCCTCCGTAAATTGACTCTATGAAACCGGTCAGCAGTCTTCCATTGCTTCGCACGCTTGACGCGACATCTATCGGTAGGTGAAGGACATCAACGGGGCCTCGTTCGCCGGGTTCTACTACATCTGCTTCATGAAGTCGTCAGCGCAGATCGAAGGCTACTACTACCACGAGAAATCCGAGATGTAGGTGCACCTCCTGGACCGGAGGACTGGCCAGCTCTACGCAGCTCATGTGCTGCACACTGACATGGAGTTGCTAAGATGTAGTGACGGAGAGTTGGAAATTGTGAATGTGTCGGGCATGGGTTGGATGAGGTCATCATCCCGGTCGTCCCCTGCAGAACTAGCGCACGGGCGTCTCGATAATCTCGCGACAGTGGCGTAAGCTGTGCATTACGTAACATCTGGCGTAAGATAGCGGCAAGGTTTCAGCTCCGTTTCGATTCGTCTTCCCAAACGGCTCCAGATGGTTCGGAATCCCGTTTGCGACATGCCCGCTGAGCGCTAACATAGCCGGTGCAGTCGCTTCATCAAAGGAGGCGGGACATGCGTCGCGTCCCCCTAAAAAAAAAGAAAGAAGAAGAGTGAGGTGTGAGGCCTTCATGGTCTTGGTTTGAGTGCAGGCTGTGTCACAGTGACCAACACCGCCCGA